TTTTACCAAAACTACAAATAATTTGGAACCAGCGAGTATATATTACTTCAGGCATCACAGTCCAGCTTGATCTTATACCGTTTGCTATTCTACAGGATTTGCAACGGTTAACCGAAACAGCGGTTCGAGAGCTCTGAAAGTGACGCACGGAGTAATCAACGCGGTGGCTTGGGGTTTACTCCTTCCGGCGGGAGCGGTAACAGCTAGATACCTTCGTCAAATGCAATCAATCGGACCAACTTGGTTCTACATCCACGCAGCTATACAGCTAACCGGTTTCCTCCTCGGAACTATAGGCTTCTCATTGGGGATCGTGCTCGGCCGGAACTCTCCAGGAGTGACCTATGGCTTACACCGGAGCCTCGGGATAGCTACGTTCGTTGCGGCTGCGCTGCAGACGCTGGCGTTGCTGTTTAGACCAAAGACGACGAACAAGTTCAGGAGGTATTGGAAGTCTTACCATCATTTTGTTGGGTATGGTTGCGTGGTGATGGGTGTGGTGAATGTGTTCCAAGGGTTTGAGGTTTTGAGGGAAGGAGGGTCGTATGCGAAGCTGGGTTACTGTATGTGTCTGTCGACGCTGGTTGGGGTCTGTGTGGCCATGGAAGTTAACTCTTGGGTTGTGTTTTGTCGTAAGGCTAAAGAGGAGAAGATGAAGAGAGATGGTTTGGTCGGCGAGGATAGATGCAGTGGGGCTCATTCATAGTTAGGTCTTGAGTCCTGATTATAAGAGAGAGTGAGAAGTGTCAGAGAGAGAGAGACAAGAAAACATTTTTAGTAACTCATCAACATCAAACTATACATTGTTAAGGTGTTTCATCACTGTTCATAGATGATCTAGATCTTGATTTTGTTAAATTCCAGATATTAAAATATCAGATTTGAGTTTTTCACATGATTACCTTAGCTTCTTCTTCTTCAGAGAACTTGAATCCATCAGCAGAAAGATATTCTTGTCTTGCATCATAAGGAGAGCCTAGACAAAGAAGATATATATCAAACACAAATAATTCAGGAAATTGACATTAATATTTTGTGGATCTGAGAAATAAGAGAAACATTAGGAAACAGAATAAACACTCAAAAACCAGGTACTTAGCGGCTGAGTCATGTAGATTGTTCAGAATGTTAATGTTACTTTAGGGTTGGATGCAGAAAACTCATGAAACTCGAGACACTCTTAAGTCAGATTCTTGAAATTTATGCACCTAAGAAAATCTGAGACCCATTAATGTCATAATAGAGAGACTGATTTCAGATATACGGCAGTCACATAAAGCTAAACACGAATGCAACAATCTGAATCTGAAACCTCATCATGAACCTAAATAGATACACAAATGCAACAGTTACAACGAAGTTATTCCAAGCCACAAAGCAAAACTAGAACATCAAAATTCATCAAACTAGAGAGTTAGCAACACTACACTGGTTTTTTTCTTATGTCAACGGTTGGGGTCTTGGAAATACTTACATTATGCTTCATCGATAAGAGCAGACTCTATAATTTTCTCTCTACTTTCTTATACTTTTCATAAAGAATAGATTTGGAATACTTACATTATGCTTAAGGAAGCTAAGTAGAGCCTCTTTTGCTCACCAACTCCCTTTCACGGCTTTGAGAAGTCTCATGATCAACCAAAACTAGTTTCCTTTTTGTTATTTCCAACCACAAAGAGATCTGTTCGATGGTCTATCGCAAATTCTTCAAGGCGTTTTCAAGGATTCGAAGCAAGCATGAGCAACAACTGATCTGTTCTAGCTTTCCAGTTAATTCTCCTCACAATCGCATCAGAGTCAGGCAAAAACACCGAGGTATGAACAGAACGTATTAGTATCTCATTCTATTGTTTCTGAGAATGAAAACATTATGTTTGACTAACTCCCAAGTAACCATCGTAGCCATGATCTTTCATCATCTTCCTGACTCTGACTACATCGTCCCACATTTCTCCTGCTGCATACAGATTTGACATCAATACATATAGCCCTCCATTTCTATAGTCCAGCATAAACATTTTCTTAGCTACATATTCCCCAAGCTCGACCTCTCTGTTCACAATGCATGCACTAAGCAGAGCCCCCCACACTGCAGAATCCGGCTTTAAATCCATCTCCCAGATTAAACTCAATGCCTCTGTATACAAACATGCTCGACCCAACAAACCAACCATAAGTGCATAATGCTGCAAACTTGGAGATATTCCAAACTCGTTCACCATTTCTCTGAAACATATTTTTCCTTCTTCCACAAGGCCTCCATGCGTACAAGCAGACAAAACCCCCAAAAACGTGATCCTGTCAGGTTTCAATCCCTGCTCCCGCATTTCCAAGTAGCAAGAAAGTGCTCGACTTTGCAACCCTGATAAGCTGTATCCTGATATCATCGAGTTCCATGTTGCTGTGCACGGAGCTTTTACGCTCTTGAACACACTCTCCGCAAGTACTACATTCCCACATTTAGCATACATATCAATAAGAGCAGTGCAAACAAACTTCTCGTTTTCCAAACTGTTCCTAAGAGTATAACCATGAAGCTTCTTCCCGAAATTCAAGCAACAGAGCTGGGAGCATCCAGCAAGCAAACTTGCTATTGTAATCGCATCCGGCATAGGTCCACCGCTTAGCTTCATCTGATGGAAAACCTCAAACGCTGTGCTTGCCCTTCCAGACTGTACACACCCCGATATCACCGAGTTCCAGCTTATCAGAGGAGCCTCATGCAGCTGCTCAAACAAAAACAGGACAGTCTCCACATCATCAAACTTAGAGTACATTGTTATCAGTCCATTCACAACCAGTGTTTGCGTGCACAATCCGCTTTTGATCGCGTAACCATGTAACGACATTCCTACGTCGATGTGGGAAGAGTTTGTACATCCATGGAGGATTCCAAGCAAAGCTACAGCGTCAATTCTCATACACAGCTGACGCATTTTAGAGAAATACAAAACCACAGTGTCCATATCTCCTTTCTCTGCATAGCTTGAAACAATCGAAGTTAGACCAACAATACTGTCTTCTGTAGCAGATGCGTAGAGACGCTCTGCTGAATCCAAATACCCATTTCTTGAATATGCACAAATCAGAGAAGTAATCACTGAGTTATCGTTCACCATTCCAGTTTTAACAACAAGACAATGCAACGGCTCTTGACTAACATGAGCAGAGAGAAGATTGATGATAGTGACTGAACTAATCTCAACTCTCTCCCCAAACATATTCTTGAAAACAGTGAAAGCTTCTTCCTGGAGTCCACTCTGGCTATAAGCACCAATCATTGTATTCCAAGAAACTGTGCTTTTATCTTTCATCTCTGTAAATAACAATTCTGCTGAATCCAACTCTGTACACTTTGAATAAAACGAAATCAACGCATTCTTCACCTGAGAATCCATTTCCAGTCCAGACTTTGCGGCAATACCATGAACAGACCTCCCTTGAGAAACGAATCCACATTGTCCACAAAAAGGTAGCAAATTTACAAGTGTGGTTGCAGATGGAAGAAACCCTTGCTGAAGCATTGAAATAAAGAGCTGCCACGCGTCACGTTCATAGCCATTTCGTGAGTACCCAGAAATCAATGCGTTCCAAGCAACTGTATCTCTCTCAGGCATTTCATCGAACAACACTCGTGCGGTATTAACAAAACCCATTTTTAGGTAGAGATCGAGAAGAGATGTTTTCACGTACACGAAACGATCAAGACCTGATTTTGTGAGATGGGTTTGGACTAACTTCAACGAATCGACAGAGGCATGATGAGGAGATGAAGAGGGTGTAGAGGCTTGGAGAAGGATGGAGATTGTGAAATGATTTGGTATGAGAGAGGAACGGAGTAAGTCACGGAAGATTGTGATCGGGGAAGAAGAGTTTTCGCCATGGATACGAGATTTTAGTAGAGAATGGAAGAAAGAAAGGTCTCTACTCAAAAGAGTTATGGGTTTGGTAATGCTCATACTCTTTGTCGTCTCTGGCTAATTTTTTGCTTTTTTGTGTTTGAATTCTTTATGTTGAAAGAGAAAATAATTATTTGATTTTTATGCTATTATTGAAAAATTAAAATAAGAGCTTAAAATAATGCTACTTTCGGAAGTAAAACTAAAAAAATGTGTTATTTTGGAAAAACCATAGAGTATACTGTAGTTAGATTTAAAATTGGACTTGTCCATGATTATCCTTCGTGTCTCACTTAATATGCGTTAGATGCATCTTGTTGCTTCTGTTATCTCCAAAAACTTACTGAAAAACTTATTGATTTTAATGTTACCCAGTAGTCAATTTAAGTGGATTTGATTCAAATACAAAGTTTACAATCAAGAACGTCAATACATAACAAGTAGGGAAAGGAAATGTAACTTTAAAGTGGGGGAATGTTTAAAGCGGAATGGGTTGGAGTAGGAAAGAAGTTATGTGTTCTCTGAGAGTTCCATGAGGATTGGTGAAATCATCAGTACCCTCCTTGTAATACACATCGATCACTCGTGGAATGTTGAGACATCGCAGCAAAATCTGCCGTGGTACACAAGTTGTGTTCAAGAACTCCTCGATCACTATCTTATAATTATCTCTGCACATCTTCTCCAGTGCCCTAAACGCTTCATCTTTCGTAACCCCATACTGTTTCATGTAACAGTTTACACCATTTGCTACCTCTCCTCTGCTCAGCTCTCCCTGCCTCATTCATGTATATATATAAATATAAATAAACCTTTTGAGCTTAAAATTTCTAAGAAACAAAATAAAGAAAATCATTTTTATACCTCGAAGCTGGCTATGTCGTTTCCTAGACGGTAGATAGTACTCAAAGCGTCGAAGATCTTTGGTTCAGAATTGAACCATTCGTTCGTTTGCTTCTCATCACAGTCTTCCATACCGATAAAACCGTCTGCTGCATAGTCATTCATACCTCCACTGACCAGCCCAACTTCCATGTACTCATCAAAAGTTGGCACATGACCTTTGCGTGCCCATTTTGATATCGCTAGGTACGCTCTCCCCAAACTCTTAATCTACGATTTCATCAACTATTTTAGTATTTCTTTCACAACGGAGATGTTCTTATATATTTATAAATCTGACCTATTACCTCATCTATCGCTTGCTGCACGCTAGCGGATCTTCCTCGTGGCTTCATTTCTTTTTCAATGTCGTCCACAGTTTCCACTAAAGCTCTGATGACAACTTTCAAATAGCTTGGCAGTTCATCAATTGCACCAAGATCCCACCTGTCCATTTTGACAAGCATATATGTTTCTTCTTGTTAGACATTCAACTAAAGTTAAGAATACGTACGTACCTAGGGCTAAGTTTTAAGAAAAAAATGTACTAGGCAAAAACGATCCATGCATGCATATATTTACCTTTGCACAGACTCGATGAGACTTTTAGCTTCAGGGAAAGTGGCATATGCATCACATGTGTCGTCCAAAACAACCGTGACCATGATAATTTTAGTTGCTATAATCCTCCCAAGTGAATATCGTGGCTCGATATAGAGTCCCAATGCAGGGAAATAGACCTCCACAATTCTATCCCTGATGTAAGGAAGCTTAGATGCAAGGTTTAGATCATTCCACCATCTGCCAGACAAAACAAAACAAAAAGCTTGTAGTATGTGTCAAGAATGCATTGAATTCTTGTAGTATATATATTAGATCTGGGCATAATCACCGAACCGAAATACCCGACCCAAACCGAACTGAAATACTTGAACCGAACCGACCCAAAAACTTTAAAATATGCGAGATTTTGAGGCTAAATAAATTCGAGTATCGGGTAATACCCGAACCGAACCGATACCCGAAGTAGACCCGAACAAATCCAAAATTTTTGGTACTTATACTCATAATATATATTTTATTCATTTTTATACACTGTGGATAATATAAATACTTTAGGGTATTTTTTGCAAGTTTTGGGTAGTTTCGGATAGGTTTGGGTATTAAATAACCGATCAAAATTGCACCCCAAAAAAGTTCGGATATATTTAGGTTGTTAAACAAAAGAACCATATACCGAACCCAAACCGAACGGAAAATTAAAAATACCCGAATAGGTTCAAAATTTTAAAATCGAAAGACCGATATCCGAAATACCCGACCCGAACTGAACCGAATACCCGAACGCCCAGGACTATATATATGTTTCAAGTTTCAACTATATTAACCTTACAAATTAGTTACATTTGCCTCATACAGATATCTATCCCAAAAAAGATGAACCCAAAATAGTATAATTACGGCATCGAAAAGACATGGAACCTAATAAATAAATAAAAATATTATAAAGAGCCATGTGTTACTATAGTTAATTCACGCTGGTTTAGAGATCGAAAGGACTATAATCAGCAAGACTGAAGAAAGTAGTAGGAAGAAAATAATCAAATAAACATGGTGACGTACTTGGTGAGAGTTTTGAGTTCTTGGATGTAAAGCAACCGGCAATAGTTGAAGCTAAGCTTTGCAAATCTGAGAAGCATCTCGTCTTGACCTTCTTCTTGGTCGTAGAAAGAAATGTATTCTCTTATGGATAGTATTTCCATGTTATGATATCGAGGTCTGTACAAGGCGTTACGAATATGTGTAGAGAGATGGGGATTAATAATACTCGTTTCTTGGACTACCAAAGACTCCAATTGGTTCCTAGTGAAACTCTTTGCTTCCTCCATTATATCTTCAGAGGGAGTCCCGAGATACGCTGCTTGGTACAACTGTAGCAATCCTCTAATATCCCCGAGTAAACTCTCCTTGAACTTCCCATCTTCACCTTTGAATCTATCAAAGACATCTAGAAAATGAAACCCATATATAGTCATCATCATGTTGTATACAGATTTTTCATGTGTACATATGTGATGAATGGACGAAAATTACACTCCCTCCTTTCATAATAAGTGTCATTTTGATACTTTTCACACAAATTAAAAAAGAAGTTCAAAGTTTAGTTTTACCTTTGTTTGACTATTAGAAGTCTTACAGTATTTAATTTTTTTTTTCTCATTTAATTAGGGGTAAAACATATAAATTAATATGAAAAATGCATTGAAATTAGAAAATGACACTTATTGTGAACAGAGGGAGTAATATTTGTTTACCGCAAGACATCTTGTGCTGGTAGAGTCGGAAGACCTCAAACATGATGGAGACTGTTTCCAAATCCTCCTCCTCTGCCATTAGTATGTCAAGATCTTCAAAAGCCTGGTTTAGGATCATCTCAATCTCGGTCTCGAAGTAATGCGAGATACCAAGGCTGATAAGCAAATGGATTAAACGAATCTTGTCCTTGTTGCTGTTGTGACAAGACATGAGCCTGTCTCTCACGTTCGGTTTCATCGACGATTCAATCTCTCTTGCTATTTCATCAGATTCCTACGAAGATACAAGAGTTAGATGGTCGTCAAGAATCATGTTCTTCAGTTCTTGGCAACAAAGACTCGTGAAACGGGTCAGGTGTACTTACAGAGTGGTCAATGGGAAGGGAGAGAAAGTAGTCTCCCCAAAGAGAAGGAGAAAACTGTGTCAAAGGTCGAGTGCTTTCAAGATCATCATCACTACTCTTAGTAGCCCTCAAACAGAACAAATCTTGTTTTCTTTGCTTTTGAGAAAGAGTTTGGTTTGGAAGCAAACAACGAGGAAAGAGAGAGAGTTTGGTTTTGAGACAAAGTGGGGCTTTGTGAGCTTGAAGATGCGGAGTTCTGAATCCAAAACTCATTCTTGCTGCTTCCATTTTTTAGTCGCAGAAAAAAAGGAAAAAGGTGCTCTTTTTGTGTTTTGATGCCTGCTGCTTCACTTGCTTTCTCGTATGTTTTCTCTGTTTTTGAAGTGAGTATGCTTCGTCTGAAGCAATGCATTTATGAAGTCTGACAAACTTAGGATTTGAAGATGCAATCCACTGGCACGTCTTAATTACTAAATACAAAAAGTCAATGGTCAATGTCGTGTTCTTGAGTACAATACAAGGTAAAAACAAATTATTTGAAAACTTATGAAAGTTTCATAAATTATCTTTAAAAAGAAAAAAAAATCAGAAAATTTGGTATTATAGTAAACATACCAAAAACAGTTTGGAACTTGGGATCTGGTTTCTATGCCAGAACACAGGATGTGTTGACACCAAGGGGATTTACAAGAAAGAAAAAAAATGGAGGAAAAGGGCGACATTACAAGGCACGTCTAGTTTGTCAAGGATACATAATATACATTCAAATTGAGGGGGTGAATTTCTTTTTTTTTTTTTTTTTTTTTTACTTAAATTTCCATTAGATAAGAAAGTTTTACAAAAGATGAAGCCTCACAGGCTTACAGCGCAAATTCAGATCACCAAAGCCTCACAGGGGGTGAATTTCGATGAAACTTTTCTTAGACTCGTGTCAATCAAACATCGTTGAGGATTGCATGCATCTTTAAGATAAAGTTGTTTAAAATGGATGTCATGTGTGTGTTTGAATTTATGAAACCAACACAGCACAAGACTTGTGATTTAATTTTATGAAAAATGGTTAAGCAAAAAGAATACCTTAATCTGCTTCCAATATTCTCCGTAGGGTGAAAAGGCCAATATGTCCCACGGAGCCGTGCCACCGTAAGTGAGAAAGGCTAACAATGTTGTTGCTACGCAGAGAGAGACTAAGATTATTTCCATTTCTTATTATGAAAGTTGATTTCAACCTCTAACTTCCATGTGGATTGTTAGCATCTGGTCTTCCTACGTACTTTGTGATTTATAGAATGATTTAGTTCGCATCGCATCTCTTTAGCTGGCATATAATACGTCGCAATATTATAATGGACTTTAGTTGATTGCATGCATACCTCTCCGCGTCATGCGCAGAGACATGAAATAAGAAAATGTTTATGAATAACAGTAATCGAAGTGATGCAGCATAGAGACAGTTAGACACAAGAAACATGCATTTATTGTTTATATTTTGTATTTTCTCAAGACTATATGTGATTTCCCGTGCATGTGCGCGAAACTTTCACGATTTTACAATTTGGTTCGGCTTCAAGATTAGAATGGTTTGATTCGGTTGGACAGTTTGATACTTTTATCTAACCCTATTTTTAGCTTTGAACATAATCTCTACTATTCTATTACAAATTACAAGAATTGTTACATCCAAGATTTTAATACGTACGTGACAAGAAGTAACCTGTGGGCTTGAAATGAAAATGGGCTAGAATTAGGCCCATATTTGAACTCTATACCTCGTTGTAGTTTTTTGTTATTTTCTGTCATTTAACAAAAAAGAAAAAAACTGGTAAAAAGAGAGAAGAGAGGCATTATCCCTTACGACGAGGAAGCCGTCGTTTTGAGGGTTTTTATTTTCTCTTTGGCACCGTTCGTACAATTTCCCTGAGATCTCTTCTTCAAAGGGGGCTTTCAGTCCGTCGTCGTTTTGATTCATTCAAAGTTCTTCGTTCTCTCTTCCGCGCTGTTTTTCTGGTTAGTCTCTTCCCTTTCTCCGGCGTCGTTTCGTGCTTAACGTCTATGTTCCATATCCTTTAATCTCTCCTCGCGTTTCTTCTGTGTAACCGAAACAACAACGACAAATCAGAATCGAAATCAAAGTTTTTCTCCTTTTTAATGTTCTGTTAACAATGGGATTCGTTGTATAGCCTTGAAAATTTAAAGTTTGCTCCTTTTTAGGGTTTCGATAGGTTTGGGTAGAATCGATTTTTGCTGCATTCAATGTTTCATTTTGCGAAATTTCATCTGGGCATATGTCTTTTCATCGAAATTTTAGTTTTTTGGGGGTAAAGTTTGAAGATTTATCCGGTTATTTGGCCAAGTATTGATTTTTTTTTTTCTGTTTGAAACAGGTGAGTGTTGATTCCGATGGACGCCTTAACGAATCCAGGTCCACTTAAGGACATTGTGCTTTATGATCAAGAGAAACATGTTTCCTCTGCTGTTTGGGATGGCCAGGTTTGTCAAAGATTTGATTTTTCTTTGCTTCAATTGATCTCGTTTTGCTCAGTATCCATATGATTCATGTATTGCACAATGTTTTTTGGTTTTTATTAGGAGCGAGGTGCGTTGAGGTGTCATGAGCACACTTCAAAGCTGAGTGAGTGGAAGCTAAACGCAAAGCAGATTCAACTGGTTGAGAGAGCCGGTTTCGGCTACTTGAGACGTATCCCTGCCATTAGTCTTGACAACCCTCTAATCTCCGCGTTGGTCGAGCGATGGAGAAGAGAGACCAACACATTCCACTTCACCGTTGGGGAAATGACTGTGACTCTCGAGGACATTGCCCTGTTACTTGGATTGGGGATTGATGGCAAACCTGTGATTGGAGTAACGTACACTACTTGCTCTTCAGTATGCGAGAGGTACTTAGGATTGGCACCGGATCCTAATTACGCTAGCGGTGGGATGGTGAAGCTTAGCTGGTTGAAAGAGAAATTCTCTGTGTGTCCTGACGATGCACCTTTTGAAGATGTTGAGCACTGTACAAGAGCTTACCTTTTGTACTTAGTAGGGAGCACCATTTTCTCTACAACCACTGGGAACAAAGTGCCTGTCATGTATCTTCCTCTGTTTGAGGATTTCGATGACGCTGGAACGTTTGCTTGGGGTGCAGCTGCTTTGGCTTTCTTGTATAGAGCACTTGGGAATGCTTCTGTTAAATCCCAAAGTACTATATGCGGTTGCTTGACGCTGTTACAGGTACTTTTACCTTTTCGTTTCTTGCTCCCAAATTGCTTAGTTTCTGCTAGTTTCTTAATCTTGTTTCTTTTTTGTTTTGTTTTGTGTAGTGTTGGAGTTACTATCACTTAAACATTGGAAGGCCAAAGCTGAATCGTGAGCCAGTCCATGATCATTTCCCGTTTGTGCTTAGGTGGAAGGGAAAGCAAAACGGTCCAACAGCGAACCGTGATGTGGTCTTTTACCGGAAGGCACTGGACGTCGTGAAGCCAATTGATGTAAGCTTGTTAATCTTACGCTACTCTTCTTTTGATATGAAGTCGCTGAGAATCTTTTTCTTTCTTGGGATGTAGGTGGAGTGGCTGCCGTATGAGAGCATGGACGGTAGATTCATACCAGAGCATATTAGAAACTCTCTGCAGTTGGGAAGGTCGAAAACAATGCTGATATCTTTTGACAAGGCGGAGAGACACATGCCTGATCGATGCCTCAAGCAGTTTGGCTTGTTTCAAGGCATACCGGAGGATGTGCCAAGGTGGATAAGAAAGTCTCGTGGAGTGGACGGAGGGGTTGACCTGTCGGTGAAGATGGAAGCAGAGCTAAACGAATGGGAGATGCGTTGGGACAACATTGTGCCTGATGATGTTCTTGGTGTTGATGAGGCAGACTACATGAGGTGGTATCTTGGAATCACCCGCAAAATCGTTGGAAGGCCCATCTCTCTCTCAAGCGAGTTTCAAAGAACGGTAATATAATAGCTAAAGAGCTAGTTTCTTTTCTTCTTCACCACTCTAGTTATGATCTTAACACTTTATTATCCTTTCTTGTTGTTGCAGATTTTGAATGTGAGGGATATATTGGAGCTGGCTGAGAATTTTCCAACGCATGATTTGGATCTTGAAAGAGGCAACATGGTTTCACGGATCATCAGCCTTGCGCAAGATTGCCTGAGAGATCAAGTGGGAGTAAGTGTTGGTGGAGGGGAGACTCAGCAGCAGATCGAACTCGGGAAGAGGATGCGAGGTAAAGAGAGGGTGAGAAGGAAAGGGATGGGGAAGAGAAGGAAAGGTATTGATCCAATGGAAGACTATGGAGGTAGTGAAGATGAGTCACAGTTTGGACCTGTGGTTGAGGTTGATCAGTTGCATTTGCCACTTAGCCATCACGCGGATTCGGTCTACGATGGATCACATATGTACGACCCTGTAACCAAAGTCGATGACATGGAGCTTTGTGACAACATCCCTCAGTTGCCAGACGTTCAAGACATTAACAAGATTGATGGGTCATTGCTAGACGACACAGAGAGGTCTCTTGAGGAGAGTAAGCTGCACGAAGAGATTGGTGCAGGGAATGTGATGATTGGTGAGGAGGAGACAGAGCTGCCTGAGAGCTATGGTGTGAAGAAAGAAGATAAAGAATCAAAGGGTGAAGATGGTGATGCAGCGAAGGGTGTTAGTGATGTGAGCGGTGAAGAAAATGGGAACGGAGAGGAAGAAGAAGAAGATGGAACAGACATGGGAGAGAATGTTGCAGAGTCGTCTTCACTTGATAGAAGAGGAGATAGCACTTTGTTGGCTTGATGACAGTTAGTTTTTAACCAATGTGAATCTCTCTGCCTCTTCTTAGTTATAATATAGATCAGGCAAATCAGGATTTGATGAAGAAAGGCTGCAGAGAAAGTTTAGTTTTTTTTTTTTGTGTTTCTTTTTTAACTTATTGTCGTCCGTTTTCTTAAAGTACTGTCTTTTATTTTGTAGAAGTATGTTAAATTTTCTGTAGAAGAGGTTACAGAAGAATGATAGCAGAAGCATGAAACATCAGTTTTTATAAGTGAAGTTTGGTGACGAAATAATCGACTCTTTCTATGTTGGATTGTTCATAGAAAGAGATAGTTTCAATATTAATCTACATATTATCTACATAAAGGGGTTAATATTGGTTTAACTATCATTAAATTAGGTAGTCTCCAGAATATACTTGGAATGATAAAGAGTAGGCCAGTTATCATGATCAAAAATTCAAACTAAATTTAGCTACCTTAAGCATGCAGTGTAAACGAAAACAGAGTAGTTAATTTGCCTAACAAAGATGGTATTTTCTTTTTCCAAAACTCTCTCTTTTCTAATTAGTTTTGTAAAGAGTACTGTAGTGTTTAGTCATTACAATTTACCCATTTTGGTCGTTGTGAATTTTTTGAATTAACATTGTTTCTTATATTCGAAACTGTTTAGGGATCAGTGTGGTTCAACAAATTGAACTTGGAAAATGCTCTTTTATTATATTTTTCTTACTAAAGTACTTAAGGTCCTAAATAAAAGTAGTGCCAAAAAGGAGATCCAGTTGTGTAAGAATCGATGCTGTGTTCCTCAGAGTAAGTGGATTAATTTATATTTGCAATTTCCGATCCCTATGTTTTTATGTACTCCCCTCTTTGTGCCCTTAACTATTAGTATAAGACAAAAAAAAAGCAAAATGGTAGTTACACTATAATTGAGAGCTGAACTCGACACTGAGATGTGTCAATTAGATGAACTTAGCTATGATCTAAAGCCTAAAGCATATTTGAACTTGGTCGTGCACGTGACTTTAGTCAAAAATTCGCAACTGCAATATTTGAAATTTTGAATGGTGGTTTGTGCCTTTGTGGGAGTCACATATTTCTAAGTTACCGTATATGAAAATTTTTAAACACTTTTTCGTGAAACTCGATATAATACACTCATATTTGTTTAGTAAGACCAACTATTTATCCAAGTGGCTCAAAACAGTTTGTTAGTGTAAAAGCAATATTAGTAAATTTAAATTTATCCAAAATCTTATAGTTTTGTGACTTCTACTATTGTTTAGTTTTCACTCTTCTTATTAAAATTCTAAAACTGAAATATTACCAAAACAAAAATAAGTTTGGTCAAATGATATTTCCATAAAAAAGTAATAATAGGAAACTTTTAACTGGTCAAGTATCTTTATTTCCTTTTTATTCACATACATTTTCAATAGAAAGCTTCATAAAAAATGCCTAAAAAATATACAAAAAAATAAAGTTTAAAAAACTTTTGATAATTGATCGTATAGAATTTTTTCCAAAATTTATATTATTTGCAGAATCGATCCCTATACTTTTAACATACTCTCACTTTCTAGGCCCCTGAGACCACCAGACAACAATACTAATGAGACACACGAGATTATTATGCACTGGGTTCTGTGGGTCCCAATGCTTACTTTATTTGTCGGCTTGTGTTTTGTGAGTGGGAGGAATATATGTCATCTCAACACTTCACAAATGTATCATCGACCGCAGATCAATCACATTCCACATATGCTTCGATACGCCGCGTCGCACTGAATCATACCCTCTCCTTCTCCAACTTCTCTTCTCTCTCTCTCTTTTTCTCTAAGCTTCTTTTTTTTCTCTCTTCTTCTCCATAGTCCTTCCAAGTCCAACCAATCTGATTTTTTTGGACATGACCCTTTTGTCTTCTTTTCTCTCTCAATAGCTTTAGTTGAAGAAACCCAATTTTAAGGTTTCGATCTACGGATTCTTGATCGTATCGGAACTTGAGAAAAGCTTCAGTTTTGGGAATTCTCGTTTTGTGTTAATTTGGTCGGATGGTGATCTTCTCGATGCTTGTGCAAGGTAAATTATATTTTTCCTTTTTTTTTCTTTTAGTTGTAAAAAACTTGAGCTTAATAAAGTCTTGGTATTAAATGCTACAAAAAAAATGCTCAATTTCCGTTGCGAATCTAGATGCTGGGTCGTCTCTGAATCCGTAAAAAATGGAACCAATTTGCCGACTTTTATATAATTTGGTCAAAACAAAAAATTAAAGGATTTTTGGGGGTTTTCAGTGATTTGGGTGCCTAGTTTTCATCTTTTAATCTATTAATTCCACAGTGGTGAGTTCTTGTTCATCATGTTGCTATGAGAATATTTACACTCGATTGTCTGATGTGCAATTTCACCTGTTATTTATTTATTTTGGTAAAAAATTCACCTGTTATTTGATTATCATTTACTATGGTTAGAGCTTGAGGAATCATTTCTTTGTTTGTTTAGTAATACACATTTTAAGAAATCCAAAGTAGTTTTTAAGATTGACTCTTCAGACAAGTTTGGTAACACTTTTGAGTATGAAGCTTGTTTGGTCCATAAGACAATCAATGTAATTGTCTTTCTTCACATTGTTTTTGTCTTTTTGACTACTTTACCTACTCTGTTAAGAGATCCTCTGAGTGATTGTTCTGCAAGATTGTGTTCTTATTGTTGAGTTTTGTATCTAAATTCACTGAAGTAATTTGGTTTTTGCTTGTTCTGATTGTTCATGTTGGCTCCTCCAGGCTTTTGCAACTAATTGGCGTTAAGCTTTGAGCTCAGTTGAATTTCTTCATCTCTTGGTTAGAAATTTTGTTGCTTCTATATGGCTGAGGTGAGCAAAGCTGTGGCTAGTGACATGGAACTAGCCAAATCAAGCGAGACTAAAGCTGCTAATATTGCTACCACTGATAAAATAGAGGAGGCTACTACACCAGCAACTGTAACCAAAACTGAAACCGTCGTTGAAGACTGCGAAACTGAGGATGTTCCAGAATCTACAGAGTGCAAGAAGCTGCTACAACTCGTGCCCCATACAACAGCTTCGGTGTCAGAACCAGATGTTGCTACCGAGAAAGCACCAAAGATCTCTGAAAGTGGCACTGCTCTGTCTTTGCAGTCTGGTTCTGAAGGGAGTAGCCCGTTTATCCGAGAGAAGGTTATGGAAGACGGATACAACTGGAGGAAGTACGGACAGAAACTTGTGAAAGGCAACGAGTTTGTGAGGAGCTATTACAGGTGCACACGCCCAAACTGCAAAGCCAAGAAGCAGCTGGAACGGTCTTCAGGTGGACAAGTCGTCGACACTGTTTACTTCGGCGAGCATGATCATCCGAAGCCTCTTGGCTCTGCTGCTGTTCCTATCAATCAAGATAAACGAAGTGAGGTCTTCACAGCTGTGAGTAAAGGTAAGAGAATTAGAGTGATCAACATGTTTCTATTGTATGTGTTACTGTCTCTTATGGTATTGTGTTTTGTAGAGAAATCATCTGGATCAAGTGTTCAGACACTTCGCCTAACCGAACCACTGAAGGTTCATGTTCCGGATTTGAAAACTGATGTTTCATCACAGTCAAGTAGGATGAAGAGTGACAATACTAACAAGGATATCAATAGTCCTGCATCAAAGCGAAGGTATTGATGATTCTTGAACAAGTCTTCATTCACCATTGTTATGTTCTTTGTTTTTTTGTTCTTGATGTCAGTGTCACTAACTCAGGAAGAAAGGAGGGAGCATTGAGCATATGCCAATGGAGCGGTCGGCGAATGATTCACGCATTGTGGTACACACTCAGACTCTGTTTGATATAGTGAATGATGGGTACCGATGGCGTAAATATGGTCAGAAGTCTGTGAAAGGCAGTCCATATCCAAGGTAATGATTGATTACATGTTAAAGATATAGTTTTTGGCTTCTTCTCTGCTCATGTTCTTGATGTATTAGGAGCTATTACCGATGTTCAAGCTCTGGATGCCCTGTCAAGAAACACGTGGAGAGGTCATCTCATGACACAAAGTTGCTTATAACTACGTACGAGGGGAAACACGACCACGATATGCCACCGGGAAGAGTTGTTACTCATAATACCACGTTGGACTCGGAAGCTGATGAGAAAGAAGAAGGAGATGCCGACAAGACTCCACAGAGCTCAGCTCTTCAAACCATTACAAAAGACCAGCGCGTCGTTGAAGAAGATCAGTCAAGAAAGAAAGCCAAGACTAATGGCTTTGAGAAAAGTCCAGTCTCGGATGCTAAGAAGCCGAAGGAGGCAAAGAAAGAAAAATCAGAAGATGTAACCAAAGATCAAGAAGCAAAGTCGGATGATAAAACCACACTGGAGAGTGAGGAACAGAAACTCAAAGCAGAGTCTGGTCAAAGCTAAAGGCATTTGGATGGTAAATTATATACGGCTGTTTTAACATAGATTAGTACAGGCGATATGATTATAGGCTGTATGTACATTTTGCTGTTTCAGGCGGGAACCAGATTTTTAGATTAGTGTTTAATGGAATAGTATGCTTATTAGCCATTTCCATTTGGGTTATAATAAGAGTTACACGCAGAGATTGTAGCACACAACAAGAGGTCTTTTCTTTGTTGATGGAGCCTGTGTAATAGTTGTAGATTTTGGGAATGTATATGATTTGATGATCCAACCTTTATTAATGGTATTGAGACAAAACAATCTTTATTCTTTCACTTCCATGCACAAGATGAGACCAAGATTCTGTTCATCCAACCAAGGTACAAAGCACCATCTCTTTCTTCAACACCATACCCGTTGCTGTAGTCTTTCAAGAGAGCTCTAATGGTGGCTGAAACCAACGAGCTCAACGGGTACGGCTCGAAACCGGCCATGGAAAACCTCGACTTCCATTTCCCTAGAAGCTCGTGCCTTTCGATCCTCTCAGCTCCTTCACAAGCTATGATGTTGACCACATCCCTCGCCAGGCAATGCTGCTCGACGTTGATCCTCTCCTTGTGGTTCCTCGGGAGCATCACGTCGATAGACTCAAACATGGCCGTGTAGTAACTCAACGTCTCGAGGAACCTAGGAAGGAAAGGAGAAGTGTTCGTGTTGCATTCTTGCTCCACGAGAGTGACCACTTTAGGTGACAAACTCTTCACCATCCTAAGCACCCTGTCCCTGTGGTTCTCCATGCTTACACTCTCGTCCGGCAAGTGGTGAAGCATGTAAGCAAAGTTCACTCCAAGTGCTTCTCCTTTCCGAACATCAAGATCTTCAACTTCCACTTCACAGCTGGTTCTTGAAACCGCATTGAACTTGAATGGGACATGGAACTTCTCCGCTAGCTTCTCTAGTCTTTTCTTCACTGTAACCAAGTTTGATCCATCATCACCAATCCCGGTGATTCGAATACTCGGAGCTCCACAAGGCCTAGCTGCAAAAGCTTGAATAAGAGCAATCCACTGGCTCCCTTGTCCAATCTGGAAGTCAATAATGTGGATCCTCTCCTCATCCTTCATTGCCTCTGCAATGGCTCCATTTGCAGACATGTAACCAAACTTGAAATACGGACAAACCTCATGCAGAACATAGACGTAAGACAAGAACTCATAACTCTCCGGTTCTCTGGATTGGAGAGACTTGTATATGGAACTACCAGTGGCAGAGAGTCTAGCTACAAGCCCTTCTAACATGTAAGCTCCAAGTCTTTTCTTCACCATCCTAAGCACCCTGTCCCTGTGGTTCTCCATGCTTACACTCTCGTCCGGCAAGTGGTGAAGCATGTAAGCAAAGTTCACTCCAAGTGCTTCTCCTTTCCGAACATCAAGATCTTCAACTTCCACTTCACAGCTGGTTCTTGAAACCGCATTGAACTTGAATGGGACATGGAACTTCTCCGCTAGCTTCTCTAGTCTTTTCTTCACTGTAACCAAGTTTGATCCATCATCACCAATCCCGGTGATTCGAATACTCGGAGCTCCACAAGGCCTAGCTGCAAAAGCTTGAATAAGAGCAATCCACTGGCTCCCTTGTCCAATCTGGAAGTCAATAATGTGGATCCTCTCCTCATCCTTCATTGCCTCTGCAATGGCTCCATTTGCAGACATGTAACCAAACTTGAAATACGGACAAACCTCATGCAGAACATAGACGTAAGACAAGAACTCATAACTCTCCGGTTCTCTGGATTGGAGAGACTTGTATATGGAACTACCAGTGGCAGAGAGTCTAGCTACAAGCCCTTCTAACATGTAAGCTCCAAGTCTCTGGATGGGCTCACCGGATATGGAAACCATGCCTCGTAACTCTCCCATACACCATCTTGCCATTAGGAGGTTGTTCTCAAAAACAGCTTTGGCACAAGCAGCTAGTACTAATTTCAAGTCTCCTCTAGATATTGCCTCTACTATCAGCAACAGATCATTAGCATCTTCAGGCCACATGGAGAGTTCGTGACAGATAACATCATTGATACTCTCAGCTATCTCTGGTAGTGGCTGCAACATTATTTTTCCCTTCTGCTCTAAACCTTAGCAATAAGGTAAGTAGTGAGTAGACATGTCATCTGATCTTCATGATACACACAATAAGCCAGAGACAGTCATATAAAGCTGCACACCTGTAGAAAGTCATATACAAAGTCTTTAATCAGATTAATTTAGATATGAAACAATCATATCCAATGGAGAGCAGATTTAAACTCTTACAAGGACTCTAGTATCATTGAAATCAACCCATGATTCTTTGAATCTACATCAACTATAAATAAAACATAAAAGTTCCAATCCTACAATTAACACATAAAATTGTCCAAGCAACATAAATTTAACAGCTGTTCTTCAGATTTTAGTGTATAAACTTGAGAAAGAGAGCATCATATACAACGAACCAACATCAAACTTATCAAATATCTTCGTTTTGCAAAATTGTAAGAAAAGAAGAAATTTTTAGTGGAAAGAAAGAAGAAGAGCATCAAAATCCTCCAGAAAAGAGAAGAAAGGTTTAGTTTTTTCCCAAAAAATCAAACCTTGTGAGGGTTAAGAAGTGATCTTTCAAGAGAATTTGGTTTTGCAAGGGAGAGAGATCTTACCCAAAGCCAAGAAGATACACACAAAGCTCGAAGTAGAAGCAAAAGGAAGAATCTTTGGAGGGCTATAAAGAAAATAGAACGGCTAATACGACACCGTTTCAACGCAAACCGAATATGACCCGATCGCCCAGTTGATGAATATGACCCATCTCACTAAAGTCTCTGGTCAAATGGGAAATTCTGCAAGAAGTAACCTCAGAGAGCTTAGAGGAAGACGAGCGATGGATCCTAGAATGTGGCACAATGTCGCCGCCGTTTCAGGTAAAAATTGTCCGATGTAGTAATGATCTCTGATTGTTGTAACGAAGTTGTGTACTGATTCGACTCGTGTTCGTAGGAATGGCTGCTCTTGGTTTGGGAACTTACGGTGCTCATATGTTTAAGCCAGAAAACCCTGCTTACAAACAGGTTCTGATTCTGAATTTTAATCGAAATTCGATTGCTTTGTTACATTTAGCTATCTGGGTTTTGGATTTCTTGTTGGATTTGTGTGATAAAGTTTAGATCTTTACCTCTTTTTGTCCAGGTGTGGCAAACGGCTTCTCTTTACCATTTGGTTCACACTGCTGCTCTTGTTTCTGCTCCTAACACCAAATATCCAAACATTGTATAAGCTTTCTCTCTTCTTTCCTCTGTTTTCTCCAGTTTCTGTTTCTCTTGCTTGTTGATGAAAGCTGTTTTGTTTAATCAGACTTTTGACATATGATTTTTCTTGCTCAGTTTGGTGGCTTGTTGACTGCTGGGATTGTAGCCTTTTCCGGAACGTAAGTTTTCTACTTTGTTTCTCAACTTCTTCAATTTAAGTTACTGAATGCATGTGTTTGTAGAGCTTTCGTTGCTTAATGCTTGTTGGATTTCTTGTAATTGAGATTATAATACTGCATCATGCTTATCTGAGCACTTTACACGCTAATCTTTGGCGCTAGCAATATTTGCCATGTTTTCTGAAACAGTTTGTTTTGATTAGCATAGGTCTTTGTATCTGAGCTAATGATTTGATTACAAATTCCATGCTTTGTAATGAAATGGATTACCCTCCTCTTGTACCTCCTTGGATTTGTGAAACTATAGTCTTTGTTTTTTCATTTGAAAGGAATTAGATCTTTGCAAAGCAACTATATCTGTGAGAAGTTTCATGTTTATGAAATTTTGCTGCAGGTGTTATATGGTAGCGCTGCGTGAGGACAGAAAGTTCTCTACCTTGGCACCATTCGGTGGCTTTGCGTTCATTGCTGCATGGGCAACTTTACTTTTCTAAACAATTTCAAAATCCATCCTTGTGATCAAATTGTTGTCAAGCTTATCCTACAAGTATGATTGCTTAATTCAGTCCTCTGTCTCAACAACCATAAAGCTTCTTCCTTTTACTTGTTCACTTTGTTGTTGATGAGATTATGTAAATGACCAGATTGATGTAATCTTTAATAATACCATACACTTTATCAAACATTTACATTTGGAAAAATGAGCTTGTTTCATTAGCTGCAGAGGAGTAAATGATGAAACTTCCAAGTTGCAACAAAGATTGGATTCATTTCTTATTGTGCATCAGAAGTACTAAATGGAAAGCCACGCTATTCATCATCGAGGATCTTGTCTTCTCTCATGAGCATAAAAAAAATTGCATTCTTTGGACATTGAATTCCAAAGCAACACTCTGAAGAACAACACAAACATGAAAGTAAATTAACAATGTAAGAGTTTTTCTTTTTTTCCTCTGTTTTTCCTATTTCTGTTCTTTTGCTTGTTAGTGGAGTTGTTTATACTTGACATACACAAAGATCTTTTCTTTTCTCCGTTTGGTGGCTTATTGAGGATTGTTCTAAGATTCTGAAATTTAAACGATTGAATAGATGTGTTGGGCAGAGATTTTGTGCTTAACGTTTATTGGATTGTAACTCATATTTTGTGTGATTCAATATAATTTGGACTTCTCCAATATTATAAATCTCTTGCCTTAGCAATATTTGCCATAACTCTCCATGGCTATGAAAACGAAATTAAATATGAAGATAGATTTTAACCATTTCTCGACACGTTTCAAACTTTGAATCACTTTGAAAAGCATAGATCTCTCTTATAGTTCAAACAAATTACAGTAATTTTTATTGTGCACTAGATATAATAAAACCATTACATATCTTCATCATCTTGGCCCTTTCTTTTAAATTAGGGGATATACGGAAAGCTGCAAGAATCATGGCCTATCACCAAAAGATCATGACATAATCAGACACATGTGGTTCAAGATCTCGATCGATCAAAGAGCTTAGAACAACTGAAAAAAAAAAGGGTTTAGATAAAGTTGCTTACTAGGATCGGTTTCGCTGAACACTGCAGCGCTGTGGAAGTCACAGGTAGCACCACTATGCTTGTTACGCTGGAAATAATCATTGAAGATAACAGAGGCATGGTCCATGAGAGTGTCGGGCGAGTAGCAATTCTGGCCAAGCTGAATCCTACCACAGTCTACTCCATTTTGACAAGCCCAGTCTAAAGCTGCTTGTACCACATCATCTGGAAACTGTCTATCGGCTAACACACCATTGTTCAAACTCTGCTCCTGTTTTGAAAAGAAGATATATATGTGTGAGATTGCGTGTATGCTAGTGAGCGTTACAATAGTGATTTACCTGAATTTTGAGGTAACGTTGATGATATGAAAAGCAGAGCAATAGTAGCCGAAATCAAGAAAGTTTTCATCTTTACAAAACAAGAGGCAAGCTAAGTATGAAGGGTTGAGAGGTTAAAGATGGTGCTAAGTTGAGTTATTTATAGCGTTAATAGACAATCTACTGTATGTTTAGAATTAAATGTATGCCTATATATATACAAGATATTGTGAATAATATTGATGTGTAATTCTTATCAACTATTGAAAATTAAAATCTTTAGGTAAGCAATTGTTATTGGGAGAAATAACTAATTATATTTCCTTAATTGGGATGCAATCCCATGAGACCAAAACTAATTCATAGGATAATTAACCTTATTCAACACTCTACCAACTTATTACCATTTGTCATTCCATGGTCTCTTACATTTCACATTTGCCATCTTTGATTTTTTGGCAATATATTTAATAGAATTTGAAGTATAAATAAAAGTATATAGTAAGTTAGTAACTATCTAACAAGTTTAAGATGTTATTATCATTTAGAATAACATAATATTTATCCAGTTGAATTAACAAATAAATGAAACCATATATACTTATGAAATATCTAAATAATAGTTAAATAAAATAAATTATTGAAAATATATAAATTTTAGAATTTAAGGAATTTGGATTCATAATAATTTATTAAACATCAAAGTTAAAAATATAAAAATAGACATTTTAAATATATTATCAATTTTCATTAATGAAAATCATCTTATATTTTCTGGTTATTTCCCTTTTGTATTGTATGCATATAGGCACTGTTGTTTCATCTTGTTCTTGTATAGATTTTAAGTGCTAGAATAATTTAAAATTTTATATTAAATATTATAATAATTGAGTTTATTTAAGACTAAGATAAATATTATTTAATATATTATCTCTATTCTGGATATAGCCTTCTAAACATTTTATTATCCGGATCCACATTCGTTACTTTATTTTTTGAATCCGTAATTTTATCATAAGATTTGGTTTTAGGATGCTCCAAAAGCCAGAATATTCAGAGACGATTGGATGGGATGCCAGATAATAAAAATGTTTATCATTTGGTCAACACTGATGCTCTTATTCTTGATCCTAACACCAAAAATCACAATATTGTAAGTTTTTCTTATTTTCTATATTTTACTTTTGTTGGTTAGAGGAGTTATTTCTACTCGATATTTTTTTTGTTCAGTTTGGTGGTTTTGATAGTTGAGAATAGATATGGACATTTCGGGAAGAGAATCTTTTTTTTTCTCTTATCCGTTCAATTGTTTTTGAAATTTTTCGGAAGGTAAAGTTACAAAATTTGTTTGGGAACATTTATTTTATTCAAAGAAGGGTACAATATAGAAATGAATACCCAAATTATGTGTTTAAATAAATGAAAATTTGAAAATTATATATGTGCTTTTTATTTTTTTTTCGAATTTTCTCATATTTTCCCAAAATTTCTAGTATTTCCCTAGATTTCCCGATTTTTTTCTGAAATTTCTCGAAACTTCCCGAAATTTCTCCAGTTTTCTCAAAATTTCTCTAGTTTTCCCCATTTAATAAGATATTGGATATCTAACTGGATATATATTTTTTACTCAAAAACTTCACATTCCGTTATCTTCCATCTTGTTATTATAAAGAAATACTTCAAATAGGACATATAATTTCTCAAATTTCTCATTCCCACCCTGATCTTGTCAATATCCAAATGCCCAAATGCCCAAGACTAGTTGGGATTGCAAGCCTTTTACTGCACCACTTGTTATTTGTTGTTTCCGGATTGCCGGCATTGCTCTCAGATTTTAAAATTTAAACTCTTGAAAATAGATGTGTTGGGCAAAGCTTTTGTGTTTAACGTTTGCTGGATTGGATGTCTTGTAACTCAGACTTTAATAGTGCATCATGGTTATTTTTATAATTCAGTATAATTTGGACTTTCCCATACACCCTCTAATCTCTTGCCCTACCAATATTTGCCATAATTCTCCATGGCTATGAAAATAAATTTGTAGATTTTATCCATTTCTCAACATGTTTCAAAATCTGAATCAGTTTGAAAAGCATAGATCTCTCTCATTAATTTTAATACCATACATCTTATAAAAAAAAACTACATGTGAAAGTAAGCGACAAAGGAGTACAACGTGAAACTATAAGTCCCAACAAAGACTAGAGTCGGTTTTATTGTGTGCATGAGAAGTAGTAAAATCATTATATTCATCATCTTGGCCCTTTCTAGGGGATATACGGAAAGATGCAAGAACCATGACCTATCACCAAAATCATGACAATATCAGACACACGTGGTTCAAGATCTCGATCGATCAAAGAGCTTAGAACAACTGGAAAAAAAAAAAGGGGTTTAGATAAAGTTGCTTACTAGGATCGGTTTGGGTGACCAATGCAGCAGGGCGGAAGTCACAGTCAGCACCCTTATGCTTGTTACGCTGATAAAAATCATTGAAGGCAAAAGAGGCATGGTCCTTCAAAGTGTTGGGCAAGAAGCAAGGCTGGCCAGGCTGAATTTTATTACAGTCTGCTCTACCTTTTTGACAAACCCAGTCTAATTGATGCAGCCGCCATTCTTATTTCCTTTTCTTTCTTATAGAATATTTACTTAATCGTTATGGTTTTGATTTCCTTTTACTCTGTTTTTCCATTATTAGTTCTTTTCCTTTTCTTTGTTATTTCTAGCTTATATATATATGACTCTCTTGGCTTGTAAGAGATCATACTTTTGATTGAATTATTAATAAGAGCTTTGTTTCTCTTAACCCTTGTTCACGGCAGATCATAACTCGATCTCAACGTTAACGAGAAGGCTTGAATCGTTCGGGTATTCTTAGACTAAACGATCTATTCTTGCAGCTACTATCCTCCACGCTATCAGTTGGTATCAGAGACTTCTCGATCCCTCGATGGCACCTCGGAAGAAACCTACGCTTGAAGACCAAGCTGATGCGTTTCAACAGCAACTTTCCTCTTTTCAACAAGACCTTAAAGCCTCGCTTCGCGAAGCAATTCAAGAAGCTCTCACCACCGTTCTCCAACATCAACATGCTCCTCCACCCACCGATGCAACCTCTGTTACAGACTCCTCCGATGACCCCACCGACAATCCATGGGCGCAACAAGGTCGCAACAATCTCCGTCGAGATGAACGTGATGCCGGTGAAACTCGCTGGGAAGCTAGCTTCAAGATGGATATTCCCGAATTTTTGGGAACTCTCCAACCCGAAGAATTCCTTGATTGGCTTAGCTTCGTCGAAGAAGTCCTTGATTTTAAACGTGTACCAGAAGACATGCGCACATCGCTCGTGGCGACGAAGTTCCGAGGCCGTGCTTCTGCTTGGTGGCAACAGTTTAAGGCTGCTCGACAAAACTCCGGCAAGCCTAAACTCTGCTCTTGGGAGAAATTAAAGAAACACATGCGTCGTACCTTCCTTCCATACAACTATGAGCGTACCTTGTACACCAAGTTACAAAATCTCCGCCAAGGTTCAAAAACAGTTGAAGATTATGCGACTGAATTTTTTCAGACTTTGGCTCACGTTTCACTTACAGAAACAGAAGATCAACTGGTTTCTCGATTCTTGGGTGGATTACGACCTCAATTGCAAGTTCCACTCCAACAGTTCAACCCCAACTCTGTTTCTGAAGCTTATCAACGAGCGTTGTCTATGGAGCTTCAAATTCGACCACCGTGGAATACAGGAGGCTCTCGTCAACGTTTTTCGCCTACTACAGAGCTCCCCGCAGTGGTCACGACTGATTTGGTTCCCTCCAACCGTGCTACTTCATCTCGCCCGCCACTACCTCCAGAGAATCTCAACACCTCTCGCCCGTCTCGTCCTAATGCACTTCGCTGTTACTCTTGTGGTGAACCTGGTCACCGCCAAACAGCATGTCCCAATGCTAAAAGACGCGGCTTACTCCTTGATGATGCTGATGTTGACCACGAAGCCAAGTATGATGACTACGGGGATGATCCTCCAGCCGATATTGAAGATGCGTTTGGCGATAAAGGACCTCTGTTAGTACTTCGTCGTAGCTGCTTTCTTCCTCGCTCTTCGCAGGAACCTTGGCTCCGGTCTAATCTTTTTCGCTCCACGTGCACAGTCAATGGCAAAATATGTCGTCTGGTGATTGACTCTGGTAGTTGCGTCAACGCTATTTCCGATGAAGCAGTTCGTAAGCTGGAGTTGCCCACAGAAAGCACCCTTCTCCTTACACGCTTGCTTGGGTGTCCTCTACCACAACTATGCGCGTCGCCAAACAAGTTCTTGTGCCCTTATCCATTGGAAATACTTATAAGGAGACCTTACATTGTGACGTGTTACCTATGGATGCAGGTCATATCATCTTAGGTCGCCCTTGGCAATATGATCACGCTACCATTCACCACGGACGTGATAATACTTACACCTTTGTGTTTGCAAACCGTACTATTACCCTCCACCCTTCACCCGAGAACTACGACCTCGCTTCTGCCGTTCCTCCCCCACCTAACGTTGTTGCTCCACCAAAACAACCGTTACTACTACTCTCTAAAGCGGCGTTTGAAGAGCAACTTTGCAAAACTTCTACGATTTTTGCTCTCATTCAACAACCTGCTTCGGTTGCTCCCTTGATGGAAGTTCCAGAGAGTTTTCGCCCACTTCTTGACGATTTTCAGGATGTCTTTCCACAGGATCTCCCTTTAGGTTAACCACCTCTCCGTGATATCCAGCATCACATTGATCTTGCCCCAGACGCTGTCCTACCTAATCGTCCTCATTACCGCATGAGTCCTCAAGAACACGACGAGCTTCGCCGTTAGGTTGAAGAATTGTTAGCCAAAGGCCATATCCGTGAAAGCTTAAGCCCTTGCGCTGTCCTGGCATTGTTAATACCGAAGAAAGATGGATCCTGGCGTATGTGTGTTGATAGTCGCGCAATCAACAAAATCACGATTCGTTATCGATTTCCCATTCCGCGTCTTGATGATCTCCTCGATCAAATTGGCTCTGCTTCTCTGTTTACCAAGTTGGACTTGAAGAGTGGATATCATCAAATTCGAATTCGTCCAGGTGATGAGTGGAAAACAGCCTTCAAAACTCGTGAGGGTTTGTTTGAATGGCTCGTTATGCCGTTTGGTCTTTCAAATGCCCCTAGTACCTTTATGAGAATCATGAATCAAGCCTTGCGACCTTTTATTGGTCAGTTTGTTGTTGTCTATTTCGACGACATTCTTATCTTTAGTGCAGACTTGGAATCTCATCTTAGGCATTTGCGAGATGTCCTCACTGTTCTACGTAGGGAACAACTCTTTGCTGCTCGGCACAAGTGCGTTTTTGGCTCTTCTCAGGTCCTGTTTTTGGGCTATATTGTGTCTTCCAAGGGATTGCAGGTTGATCCCAGTAAGATTGAAGCTATACTCTCGTGGCCGACCCCTACTTCTATCACCGAGGTTCGGAGTTTTCATGGTTTAGCCTCTTTTTATCGCTGTTTTGTTCCACACTTCAGCAATCTTTCGGCACCATTGACTGAATGTATCAAAGGCTCTTCATTCGTCTGGACTTCGGATGCAGAACAAGCCTTTGCTGATATCAAAGCTAAGCTGACTTCATCTCCAATTCTCACTTTACCGGATTTCTCTAAAGTTTTTGAGCTTCATTGTGACGCTTGTAAACTTGGCATTGGAGCAGTTTTGAGCCAAGGAGGACGACCTGTGGCTTTCTTCAGTGAGAAGATTTCTGGCTCTCGTTCGCGCTATAGTACATATGACGTGGAGTTTTACGCCATTGTCCAAGCAATCAAGCATTGGCGTCATTATCTCTTTCATCAAGAGTTTATTCTCTACACCGACCATGATGCGTTGAAACATTTGGGTAGTAAAGTCAAAATCTCTTCTCGCCATGCCTCATGGGTGGCTTTTCTTCAACAGTTCACATTTCTGATCAAACATCAGTCCGGGAAGATGAATAAAGTCGCTGATGCCTTAAGTCGACGCCATACACTTTTGGCTACTTCTCACGCGGAAATTACTGGGTTTTCGTCATTTGCTGATTTATATTCTGATGATCCATTCTTTGGAGGCATTTTACTTGAGCTGCAGCAAGGAATTCGTTCCTCTTATAGCTTGCTTGATGGGTTTATCTTTCGGGATAATAAGTTGTGTATCCCTGCAAGTAGTCTACGCTTGAAGATTATTCAAGCGCTTCACAATGAGGGCCACGTTGGTCGTGATCGCACTTTTCAACTTGTGTCTAATTCATACTTTTGGCCGAGCTATCGTCGTGATGTTGCTCGCTTTGTGGAGAGATGTGTTGTTTGTCAACAGTCGAAGTGCCATGCTACGAATAAAGGTCTTTACCTTCCGCTTCCTATCCCTACTCAACCTTGGACAGATATAAGTATGGATTTTGTGCTTGGCCTTCCAAGAACTCCGAAAGGCAATGACTCCATCTTTGTCATTGTTGATCGATTCTCCAAATGGTGCATTTCATTCCATGTAAGAAGACTTCCAACGCCGTTCAAGTTGCTACTCTGTTCTTTCGGGAAATATATCGCCTTCACGGTCTGCCTCTTTCAATCGTTTCGGATCGTGACTCTCGTTTCCTTAGTCACTTTTGGAGATCTTTATGGAAGCTTCTTCGCACAAGTCTTGATATGAGTTCTGCATACCACCCTCAATCTGATGGTCAAACTGAAGTCACTAATCGTTCCTTAGGAAGCATGCTACGATGCCTTGTGGGAAATAATATCAAATCATGGGATTCTGTTCTTTGTGCTGCCGAGTTTGCTCACAACCATGCCGTCAACAAAAGCACGAAATTCAGCCCATTTCGCATTGTCTATGGTCTCGTTCCTCAAGGACCACTTGATCTTGGTGTGACACCTGATTTTACTCGATCGCATGGTCTGGCCTCAGATTTTGTTGTTGATCTCACGCACATTCACACGCAAGTGCATGACAACTTACAACTGTCTGTCTCCAAGTATAAAGAAGCTGCCGACCGTCATCGTCGTGATGTTCAATTTCAAGTTATTGATCTTGTTTGGGCAGTTTTAACTTAAGACCGCTTTCCTCCTCACGAGTACAATAAGCTCAAAGCTCGGAAGATAGGTCCTCTTGAAGTCTTAGAGAAGATTAATGAAAATGCATATCGTCTTCAACTTCCGGCTCATATTCGGTCTTCTGATGTCTTCAATGTCAAGGATCTCATCAAACATGTCGAAGCTGATGATGCTCCAGATTCGCGGACGAATCTTCTCTTACCCCCGGGGACCTGATGCAGCCGCCATTCTTATTTCCTTTTCTTTCTTATAGAATATTTACTTAATCGTTATGGTTTTGATTTCCTTTTACTATGTTTTTCCATTATTAGTTCTTTTCCTTTTTTTTTGTTATTTCTAGCTTATATATATGACTCTCTTGGCTTGTAAGAGATCATACTCTTATTTATTAATAAGAGCTTTGTTTCTCTTAACCCTTGTTCACGGCAGATCAGTTCGCAGCATGGCCCCGGTAACAAACAATAGCCTAATGGCTATACATGAAATCATAACTGTTCCTACATTCATCATTTCTTTCCTTCTCATACTTTCATACTTCATACTTTCTTGCATGACACTCTTAGACTTAACATTTCTACTTCACAAATCCTTAATACATTTATCATACTACAACATTAAATGATGCACATGGGAACTAACAATGCAACAATCAATTCATATCACATCATCATTTATCTAGTTAGACATCCTACATTCATTAACAAGTTAATCAAAGTATTAATAAATGCTCGATCCAAATCCCCACCTGGTATATTGTCCTCCTCGCCTTGCGCATGGTTCCAGAACTCTTCTTGAATGTCATTGTAGCTCTCTCGGATCGGGAAGATCTTGACGGCTATGGAAAGATGTGTTCGCGGGCTTTCCGATGATATGTAGATTGGCTCCTGGTTCGCTCCGAGTCGACGGGAAACACCATTAAAGTTCACTGCCGTCAGATCGAGATCCACAGAAATAAGTCTCGGGAAAAGCGCATAACTCTAGATCTACTGCTCCGATTGCGGATCCGCTTTTTGCTACAGCTAGCTAAGAGAGTTGAGATCATGGTTACCGAGTTTCAGACCGATCGGAGTAGATTTGCCTGGTCGGATATCTGCTGTACCGAAACACCTCAGATCTGTCTCCTTCCGCCCTCTAGGTTCCTTCAGTGAGTTCTCCTTCAAGGTGGCTCTGCATGGCACGATTTTGGCAGGGCTCGCCATCGATATGCTCTCTGTCTTCATCTAGGTCGTGGCTCCTCTTTAAATAGAGTGGAGGCTGAAGGTTCTAGGGTTAGGGCTCTACTTTGTTTCTCAACTTCTTCATTTGACGTTATTGAATGTATGTGTTTGTAGAGCTTTTTTGCTTAATGTTTGTTGGATGTCTTGTAATTGAGATTATAATACTGCATCATGGTTATCTGAGCACTTTACTGTGATCTTTTTTGTAACTGAGCTAATGGTTTGATTACAGAATCAATGTTTTATAATGAAATGGAGTACCCTCTTACACCTTAGATTTGTGAAACTATAGTCTTTGTTTTTCGTTTAAAGGAATTAGATCTTTGCAAACCAACTATATTTCAGATGCTTGATAGGTGGCTCTAAATTTGTTCGTTCAAAGTTCAATGGTCTAATTTGAATATCTGTGAGACGTTTCATGTTTATAAAATCTTGCTGCAGGTGTTATATGGTAGCGTTGCGTGAGGACAGAAAGTTCTCTACCTTGGCACCATTCGGTGGCTTTGCGTTCATTGCTGCATGGGCAACTTTACTTTTCTAAACAATTTCAAAATCCATCCTTATGATCAAATTGTTGTCAAGTTTATCCTACTTGTATGAAAGTCATTGTGATTCCCCAAGAGATTGCTTAATTCAATCCTCTGTCTCAACAACCATAAAGCTTCTTCCTTTTACTTGTTCACTTTGTTGTTGATGAGATTATGTAAATGACCAGATTGATGTAATCTTTAATAATACCATACATCTTATCAAAATTCTACATTTAGAAAATACACTTGTTTCATTAGCTGCAGATGAGTAAATGGTGAAACTTTCAAGTTGCAACAGATCATTTTCTTATTGTGCATAATAAATACAAAACCACTATATTCATCATCTTGGCCCTTTCCTTTGAATCAGGAAATATTCTCAAAGTAGCAAGACCTATCATCAAATCATGAGATAATCAGCATCATAGTTCAAGATCTCGACTGATCAAAGAAGGGTTGATATGAAGTTGATTATCACCATTGTCCGAGCACCACTTCTGTTATGAAAAGAAGATTCATGTCTTTGTATTTGAGTGGATGTTTCATTAAATGGTCTACCTGTAAACGCTATGGATATGAAAATCAGAGCAAATATTGCTACTCTTTGGAAGAAAAATTTCATCTTCATTAGAGGGCAAATTGGGAGGTTTGAGAGGTTAAAGAAGGTGCTAAGTTGAGTCATTTATAGTGTTTGTAGACAATCTTATTCTTTAACAGTGCATCATGGTTATTTGTGTGCTTCAATAATTGGAGTTTCAAATATTATAAATCTCTTGCCTTAGCAATATTTGCCATAATTCTCCATGGCTATGAAAACGAAAATAAATATGAAGAATTTAACCATTTCTCGACATGTTTCAAACTTTTAATCAGTTTGAATATCTCTTACAGTCCCAACAAATTACATTAAATTTTATTGTGCACTAGATGTAATAAAACCATTAATTATCTTCATCATCTTGGCCCTTTCTTTTAAATTAGGGGATATACGGAAAGCTGCAAGAACCATGACCTATCACCAAAAAGATCATGACATAATCAGACACATATGGTTCAAGATCTCGATCGATCAAAGAGCTTAGAACAACTGGAAAAAAAAGGGTTTAGATATAGTTGCTTACTAGGGTCGGTTTCGGTGCCCACTGCAGCGCTGTGGAAGTCACAGGTACCACCACTATGCTTTTTACGCTGGTAAAAATCATTGAAGACAAAAGAGGCATGGTCCATGACAGTGTTGGGCTCGAAGCAAGGCTGGCCAGGCTGAATCTTACTACAGTCTGCTCCATTTTGACAAGCCCAGTCTAAAGCTGCTTGTACCACACCATCTGGAAACTGTCTATCGGCTACACACCATTGTCCAAACTCTGCTCCTGTTTTGAAAAGAAGATATATATGTGTGAGATTGCGTGTATGCTAGTGAGCGTTACAATAGTTAGTTACCTGAATTTTGAGGTAACGTTGATGATATGAAAAGCAGAGCAATAGTAGCCGAAATCAAGAAAGTTTTCATCTTTACAAGACAAGAAGCAAGTATGAAGGTTTGAGAGGTTAAAGATGGTGCTAAGTTGAGTTATTTATAGTGTTAATAGACAATCTACTGTATGTTTAGAATTAACTATATACAAGATATTGTTAATAATATTGATGTGTAGTTCTTATCAACTGTTGAAAATTAAAATCTCTAGGTGAATAATTGATATTGGGATAAATAACTAATTATATTTCCTTAACTGGGATGCAATTCCATGAGATCAAAACTAATAGGATAATTAACCTTAATGAACACACTACCAACTTATTATCATTTGTCATTCCATAGTCTCATACATTTAACATTTGCCATCTTTGATATTTTGGCAATATATTTCAAAGAATTTGAAGTATATATAAAAATCTAGTAATATCTAACAAGTTTAAGATGTTTTTTTTAAAAACTTACATGGACAAATTAATTTTAGACTGATTTTTCAAACATTAAAATACTAAATCTTATTTTCTTTTCATTGTGGGTGTAGATGGTAACGACTTAATGTTTATGAATGAGGAATAAATATCTTAAAAATTATTTGTATAATAGAATAATAATTATCTAGTTGAATTAACAAAATAAATTAAAAAAATAAATACTTATGAAATATCTAAATAATAGTTAAATAAAATAAATTATTTAAAATATATAAAATTTAGGATTTAATGTATTTGGATTCATAATAATTTATTAATCATCAAAGTTAAAAATATAAAATAGACATTTAAAGTATATTATCAATTCATTAATGAAAATCTTCTCATATTTTCTACTTATTTCCCTCTTGTATTGTACTAGTAGAGTACCCGCACATTTGTGCGGTGTGACGTTGTGGTTTTGTGTAGAAAATTTAAACCCTAAATCGAATCCCACCAAAAAACTCTAATCAAAAATTTAAAAACCCAAACTTTTTTAATATGTCTAGACCCGAAAATCCGAAATCAAAAAAATACTGAAAACCCGAACTGAACAAAAAAAATCTATAAAACTTTTTCACCCGGAACCCAACTCAAATACCCTAATCAAAATTTTAAAATACTCATTTTTTAATATTTCTAAACCCGAAAACCCCAAATCCAAAAATCCGGAAAACTCTAAACTGAAAAAAAAAAACTCGAACCCAACCCAAGCAGAAATTTTCAAAGAAACTCCGAACAATTTCTATATCTCTATATCTCTATAAAATTAGGTCTCAGATTTTCACTCCAAACCCGAACTTGTCTATAAAAACCCGAAAATCCAAAAAGCATATTCTATTGATTTGGTATTATCGTTAGATTATGTTAAGTTTTCTTTTTTGCAGATTTTTAAGAGCTGGAAAACGGAAGTTTTCTAAACCATCGGTTTGTTTTAAGTTATTATTCTTGTATCCAAACAATTTTTTCCATTTATTCTTCTATCCAAATATTTTTTCTCTTATTCTTGTATCCAAACATTACAATGTACTAAATTGACCTTCCTTAAACTGTTGCCAAACACTTTTTCTTTATAAATAGATTGGTTTTTTTGTCCGAAAACTATCAATGTACTTCTCAATTAATAATAAAGAGATAGACACCATCTATTCTTTCATCTTGTTCTTGTATAGATTTTATGTGCTATAATAATTTTAAAAAATTATATTATATCTTATTATAGCTGAGTTTATCTAAGACTAAGATAAATATTATTCAGATATAGCCTTCTAAACATTTTTATTATTTCGATATATGATCCACATTCGTTACTTTGATTTTTGGATCCATAATTTTATTATTAAGGTCCAGTTTCGAAATACTCGGACCCTAACACAATATTGTAAGTTTTTCTTATTTTCTATATTTTACTTTTGCTAGTTAGAGGAGTTGTTTCTTCTTGACAGTTTTTTTTTGTTCAGTTTGGTGGCTTGTTGACCGTTTGAGAATAGACATATCACATGGACATTAAAATCACAAAACCCGTTTGGAAACATTTATTTTACTCAAACATGTAAGAGAAGGTACGAGATGGAAATGGATACCCAAATTATCCGTTTTAAAAAAATGAAAATTATATTTTTTTTTCTTAAATTTATGGTATTTCCCTGATTTTCCAAATTTTTCTGAAATTTTTCGAAACTTCCCAAAAATTCTTTAATTTTCCTAGTTTTTAATAAGACTTTGGGTCTCTAATTGGGTATTAATTTTTAGTCTCCCACTTCCCATTTCCGTTATTTTCCGTCTCCTTATTATAAAAGAATACTTCGAATAATACATATAATTTCTCAATTTTCTCATTCCAGTCCCAATCCCATCAATACCGGTCTCAAATCCCGAAATGCCCAAGACTAGTTGGGATTGTAAGCCTTTTTCTGAACCAGTTGTTATTTGTTGTTTTCCGATTGCCGGCATTGATCTCAGATTTTGCAATTTAAACTCTTGAAAATATAAGTGTTGGGCAAAGCTTTTGTGCTTAACGTTTGCTGGATTGGATGTCTTGTAACTCAGACTTTAATTGTGCATCATGGTTATTTTTGTAATTCAGTATAATTTGGACTTTCCCATACACCCTCTGAATCAGTTTGAAAAGCATAGCTCTCTGCCTCTCTCTCAATTTTAATACCATACATCTTATAAAAAAAAACTACATGTGAAAGTAAGCGCCAAAGGAGTACAACGTGAAACTTTTAAGTCCCAACAAAGACTACAGTCGGTTTTATTGTGTGCATGAGAAGTAATAAAATCATTATATTCATCATCTTGGCCCTTTCTTTTAAATTAGGGGATATACGGAAAGTTGCAAGAACCATGACCTATCACCAAAAGATCATGACATAATCAGACACATGTGGTTCAAGATCTCGATCGATCAAAGAGCTTAGAACAACTGAAAAAAAAAAACAAAACAAAAGAGTTTAGATAAAGTTGCTTACTAGGATCGGTTTGGGTGACCAATGCAGCAGGGCGGAAGTCACAGTCAACACCCCTATGCTTGTTACGCTGGTAAAAATCATTGAAGGCACAAGAGGCATGGTCCTTTAATGTGTTGGGCAAGAAGCAAGGCTGGCCAGGCTGAATCTTATTACAGTCCGCTCTACCTTTTTGACAAACCCAGTTTAATGCTTCTTGTAGCACATTTTCTGGAAACTGTTTATCTGCTATACACCACTGTCTCTCTGCTGCTTCTGTTGTTAAAAGAAGAAAGATATGTGTGAGATTGCGTCTATGCGAGTAAGCGTTATAATAGTGATTTACCTGAATTTTGAGGTAACGTTGATGATATGAAAAGCAGAGCAATAGTTGTCGAAATCAAGAATGTTTTCATCTTTACAAGACAAGAGGCAAGTATGATGGTTTGAGACTTGAGAGGTTAAAAGATGGTTCTAAGTTGAGTGATTTTATAGTGTTAATAGACAACCTCTTTTAAGAATTAACTATATAAACTTTGACCGAATATTGAAATTCATATAAAAAATCTTTAGGTGAATTTGGGAAAATTCCAGAATTGGGATGCAATCCCATGAGAGCAAAACGATTAGGATATTTAACATTTTGGAACACATTACCAACTTATTGTCATTTGTCATTTCATAGTCTCATACATTTCACATTTTTCATCTTTGATATTTTGGCAATATATTTCATAGAACTTGAACAATTGAAAAAATAGTAATTATCTACGAAGTTATTGTAACTAGGTTTGAAGCCCCGCGCAAGCGCGGGGTTGTTTGTGATAGTTTTTCTGTTTAATTTTATTTATATATTTGATTTGAATTATGATGGTTTTGTGTTAACTTTCATGTTTTTGTTATGTTTTGAGTTAACTCAACCACTAACACTAAAAAATGAATAATTTTTTTTTAAATTTATTAGGATATTAACACCCTGCTTTATCTCGAGTTTTCTATTTCTAAAATTTATCATGTTATAATATTATGTTTGTTTACTTTTTTTTTACTTCTATTAGACTGTAAACATGTATATGTATTTGATTGAAGGTTAAAATTTATAAATATGTATATGCATTTGAGGTTAAAATTTGTAAACATATTCTTGTTTTTCACTATAATTAAATTTACATATAAAACTCATTTCTATTTGTTTAGAAAAACAAACTCTAACTCTAATTTTTCATTAGCTTTCTATTATCTTAATTAATTTATATTCAACTTTTTAACTTGTAAACAATTATAACATTTTTAAATAGGATAATCCTTTGAATAAAAAGGTAAATATATACTATTTGAAGTTAAATATTTCTTTACTCCATCTCTATTTTATATTCCAACTTTTTGATAACTTTTAACATCAAATTATCACATACTTTCTATTAATTAATTAATTTATTTGTGTATTTTTATTAAATATGAATAAATGTAAAGAAATATGAATAGTCATATATTTAATAAATATTTTAAATACAATTTAAGTTTTTGTGCTGATGTGGACACTCTAGATGGAGAGAGCAACTCCCTAATTATATATAAGATTTTGAATACAATGATTAAAAATATTTAAAAACAAATTAAATACTTGGATTTGAAAAAATAATTCTGGTCATGTGATCAAAGGGGTTGTGTAGCTATGATCCTTTGAGGCTTTAATGATCCAGAAGACCAAAACGTATGCCAATGGACAACCATGGACTATTATTATGTGTGTCTATTGTCTTGAGTAGTGTTTTCATGTGAAACTAGTTTATACAAATCAACAAGTACAACCATAAAACATCACACTACCAACTTATTGTCATTTGTCATTTCATAGTCTCATACATTTCACATTTGTCATCTTTGATATTTTGGCAATATATTTCATATAACTTGAACTATTGAAAAAGTAGTAATTATCTACAAAGTTATTGTAATTTTGAATACAATGATTAAAAATATTTAAAAGCAAATTAAATACTTGGATTATGAAAAAAGAAATTTGGTCATGTGATCAAAGGGGTTATGTAGCTATGATCCTTTGAGGCTTTAATGATCCAGAAGACCAAAACGTATGCCAATGGACAACCATGGA